TTAAAAATTATAGTCGAATTTCAAGGGTATGTGTGTATGTGTTTACATGTAGATGAGAATTTGGTTGATCATAAAATAAAGGATAAAATTGTGAGTTTATTTTTTCAAATTTGAGAACCTGAATTTATAACTCTGTAACCACTATGTTATAACAAGAATGTAAGAAATTAAAAAATACAAAATTAAGATCAGCGAATCAAATTGAAAAGGCAGCCGACGCAAAGAGCACCACACATGTTCACACAAAATTATCCTACTCCATCGCCGCTGTGATTATTACGTCGCTACCTGCTTCCGTATCTTTAACCAGTGAACCAGTCCAACAAATTTTTCTTATTCTTATTATTTTTTATATAGACTTCTATGTCATTCCCATGCACACAAAAAACGATTTATAAACGTATGATTTTGAAGGTAATTCGAATACAATGTTTTTTTTTTTTTAAGGTAGTAAATGAAGTTGGTATTAAGATTTAGCCTGAGAAGACAACATGACATTGTTTCCAATTTTGAACTTCCAAATACTTTTTTTTTTTTTTTTTTTTTTAACAACTAGTACCTCTGAGCCTGTTTTTGTCGAGCCTAAATTTCAATGCACTCCGAGTTTTGTTAAACTTGAGTCCCATTCTATTTTCTTTATGTTACTCTCACAGGAAAAAAAAAAAATTGCAGCCGTGAAACTTCAAAAGCAAGAAAACTGGAGCAAGAAAACAAAGTCGATGCCGTGATTATAGTTGTATACATTATTGGAAGTGGTAGTGTGAGTGTGCCCTCAGTGAGGATATCTCAGCCCGTGGCTAGATTGTCAGATTCTAGAAACACAAAACAAAGAAAAAAAAACGAAAATACGGATTTGATCATGAAAATGAATGGATACATTCCTCCAAATGTCAGTGTGATCAGGGTTCAATTATATGAGGAAACACAACTTGAGCATATCACGGATGACCACTAACAGATTCAAAAACACAAAACAAGAAAAAGAAAACAGAAACACGGATTCGGTCGTGAAAATGGTTGGATACATTCTTCTAAGTGTGAGTGTAATCAGGGTTTCAATCCTTTAACGGAACACAACTTGAGCAGATTACGGATTTCGCCCTGCCTCGATTGAAGAGGACTCATAACAAACGCACGAGAAAAACAAAAACAAAAACAAAAAACTTTCAGAATGTGACTTTGTTTGCTGTAAGTTGCATTTTGTAGAGGAAGACTGTGAGCACGACCTCCTATACTACCCCGCCTGACATTATTGAAGTACAAAAAAATATTTTTTCCCCCCTTTTCATTTCACACGTGGGCAAAAGAAAACTAAGATTTATGGGACTTACCGACCCTGGGTCCCACCCCCGGAAACAGGCTAAGACTCATAACTTCCCAACACAACCAGAGGTACTAGAAAAGAAAAACGAAAAAAAAAACAATAACTTTCATATATCATCGTTGAACTAACCTACCTCAGGTAATTTAAAATTATTTTATTTTGTTCATCTGATCGCAGTTGCATTTGAACTCGGGTTTGTATTACAACAATTCATTAGGTGTACCAACTGAGCTAGGCAGTTTTGAGCTTTCAAATGCATATTTGTTTTCTTGGATCTGTTATGGGGAGCACCGCTGTCGCGCACGGCGGTCCTTCACCCGGACGCAGAGTAGTTTTTGGTGTTAAACCTCACGGTCGTGTCACGCAGGAGTTTCCTTTTGTCACCTTTAACGAAATACCAACTCCAACCGTGCGCCCGTGCTATACCTCTCACGACTCCCTACGACAGGTTAGGGATCCGGCGAGGTACAACATACCACCACCTGCGGGAGCTGTCACCATCCCTTAGGTGGGCGTATCCCTGCTGAGCTACTGACCCACATATGAAGACCTTTACATGCAATCGCAGAGGTAGGCCAACCGAGGACATTTTCTCCATCGCCGTAGCATAGGGATACGCACGGTAGAAAGTCTTAAGACTGACCCGTATGTCGAGCCCCGAGGTGCTAACTCTCTGGACCGACTGTCTTAATCAGGTCGACTTCTCGGACAGTCTTCCACGCTTAGCTAACCATGACTCTATGTTTCCTTTGTTGACCTTATGAAAATGTCAGAGTCAAGCCCATAGTAATCTTTCATTCTTCCCAAAAGAAGTCCCAGACAAATGACTTCCTAGATACCGACCAACCTACTATCTCACTCACAGATATGTATATAAGTATGTGTATAATATCAGGGGAGTTGAATGAGCAGTGAACCTCACTTTCACAKTTGTTGTGTCCTGYTGTCYGAGTATCCCAGGTGATCCCAAASTCAGAAGAYAAATCAATGCTCCACACCTGTGCAGATGCACGAACCACATACAAGCATACAGATGCAGACACAGAATGCGCTACACCCGTCAACCTTTAATCTATTCATAGCATGCCACTCACGCCCCAAACCCTTGAAAACAACATTCCTTCCTAACCCTGATTCCATTTACCCCAGCCCCACACATCTTTGAAGACTCCTGAGTGTGATTTGGACAATTTAAGCATAGATACAAGGGAAGATTTATCTATTCCCTTCTTAGGTCTTGTCTTAGGTGTGGGTGTCAAGTCATGATGGAAGTTGAGTCGGAGCTCTACCGACCTGTTATCAAATGATAACAAAATTGTTGTTCCTTACGGATTTCTTCCGTAGTCTTCTCCAAGAGGTGAAACCTGTAGATACAACACAGTCCAAGAGAAACTTAACATCTCTCTTCCTAACTGAGATCTAGAAAGTTCCTTTTAGACTCTTTGTCTTCTGTCTGACTCCTATCCTTTACTAATCGTTTGGGCTGTTGCCCTTCTGCTTTAGGTAGTGAAYAATAGTTCACTTCCCTTTTATTGTCGCAGTAACCCTTCACATCCCTTTCACTATCTCGTTCCTATCCCTTCGGGATTATTCTGTCTGAGTTCCCTTCCTTCCCCCAACACACATGAACACATCATCAATCAAACTTGTGGAAAAAATCTCATGGAAAGGAATCAAATGAATGGATAGTCTCTCTCTGAGGCAAGATCTCACTTATCCCTTTTCAGTAGAATCAGAGATAGTTAGGACTGAAAAATGCAGATTGTGGAGAAAGTTAGCGGTGGTATGACAGACCATTCATGATATATGATATATCCACTTGTTACTGGAGCTTTGTTTGACAAAGGCAACTTAGTGGGCCTTGGCCCCTGTGTGCCAAGCACATTTAGCGGTAGGCTTATCCTATGGCTAGTCACTGATAAGGCAGGTGTCCTTGAAACCTCGCTACTTCTTATATTGGATTAGTCACTGATAAGACAAGATTCCCCTGCTACTCTTATCACTTACTAACCCTCAATAAGGCGGGCGCCCAAGGAGCCTTATTACTCTTATCACTGACTAAGCCCTATGATGTTTATTGATAAGGCAGGTGTCCTTGAAACCTCACAACTCTTATATCGGACTAGTCATTGATAAGACAGGATTCCCCTGCTACTCTTATCACTGGCTAGCCCTCAATAAGGCAGGTGTCCAAGGGTCCTTGCTTACTCTTACCATTAAAAAGAATGTTAGGTTTGATCAATGATAAGGCAGGTGTCCTTGAAACCTCACAACTCTTATATCAGAGTAGTCACTGATAAGACAGGATTCCCCTGCTACTCTTATCAGTGACTAACCCTCGATAAGGCGGGTGTCCAAGAGTCCTTGCTTACTCTTACCGCTGAAAAGAATGTTAAGTTGGTTAATGATAAGGCAAGTGTCTTTGAAACCTCACAACTCTTATATCAGACTAGTCACTGATAAGGCAGGATTTCCCTGCTTTCTCTTATAAGTGGCTAGCCCTCAATAAGGCGGGTGTCCAAGGATCCTTGCACTTACCACTGACCAAGCGCAAGACTCATTTGGAGTTAAAGCAGGCTTTCCCTGCTATTCTTACCCCCACACAAGTCTTATCTATGGCTCAAGTCATCACTTTCGATGGCATTCCAGCCCAGAATCTTTGTTAGTTTGGAGACTTATTGCTGGATCAGATGTATAATGAGCAGATGATCGGTGTGATCTATGACAGTTGATTATAGATAGCTAAAAAACAAAGGTATCCATCTTTGTTTAGATGGGGTATAGAGAAAATGATCGTGAGAGGTTTGATAGCTTGTATTCATACCTCCAATCAATGCCCACAGCCGGATTGCTGTATCTTGAAGCAATCAGTTTCACACTCAGCCACCTTTTTTTCTACCCGCAATCCAAGACCTGAAGAGTCATTGATTTCGAATCCCTAACTCTTATGATCATCGTTACGATGATTGCCTGTATGAGACAGCACCTGGGTCGAAGTAACGTACCTCGTCGTTCCCTGCCTCCATGGTTCCGCCTGAACTCCGGCAGAGCTCCCACAATCGCCCTGTTACATGAATCAAAACATGGAATGGGAATCCTTTGTGTATGAATCCTGATCTCAGTAAGCCATTGGAACATACTATTTTCACTTATGTTATTTGAAAGTGGTTGTGTGCTTATGTAGGGTTTAGGCATAAGAAAGCGAAGGAGGATGAAGGATTTAAGCGCCGTCATACTTGCTGGCGCCCCTCCTTCGCTCTATTGCCTCGCACCCCTGTCCGATTCTGATTCCCTATACTGCAGCGAGACGAGCAAACGCCCTCGGCTGAACTACCTCTGCGATTGCACATGAAAGTTTTCGCACGTGGATCAGTAGCTCGGTAGGGATACGCCCCTAAGGGTGGTGAAAGCCCCTTAGGGATGCAAGCTTATGCCCCGCGGGAACCTGTCCTGTCGTAGGGGACCGTGGGATGTATAACTGGCGCACCCGGCTAGAGCGGCGAAGGAGCGAAGCAACCACGTCCGTCTCAGCGGTTCACGGAACAGTATGCGTCGTTCCCGAGTTGTCTCTTAATGATGTGTTATTAGGTAAACTCCTGCGTGACATGGCCGGGAGGACCGTCGTTTTCACGCGAGGGTCGATGCGCGCGACAGGTGGCGCCGTTGCTGGGGATAACGGCAGACTACCGTTGTCCCTAGCGGAACAACACTTAGGTGATTGATAGAGTAAAAAGTTATTTTCTTTTCTTGTTTGACCTCAGAGAAAGTTAGTAATTTGATCCCAAAATTATAAGATATTATTGACTGATTTTTGTTAATATATTGTTGTTTTCCTTCACAAGATGGCCGGTAACAACGACAATCAGGACGAGAGGAGAAATGACATTCGGAAGCTTGCCAGGATTATTCAGCAGTCCCAGAAGGATCAAAACCCGAAGGTTGACGTTCCATTGTTTGATGGAAATAACGCCTCGGGATGGGCAGAAAAGTTCGAGCAATTGGGAAGTTGCTGCGAATGGTCGAATGAAAAGATGTTGCGAATGGTGAAGAGATACTGCAAGATCCAGTACAAGGAAGAGGTCGAGGAGTTGGTACAAGATTCGCTGGCCAAAAGGAAGCTGCTAGACAAGTACCTGTTGAGCGATCAACTGTTGGACTTGACAGATTTGAGGAGGGTTAGTCGGAAAAACTTTGGTACAACAAAGCAGTTCCTTACTGAATTCGAGCGGGTGGCAAGGTTAGTTCCTGACCTTCCAAACAAAGATCGTTGCCTCATCTTCCTGGATAATTTCACGGAAGTGGAACAACTAAAATTGGTAAAAGGAATGAAAGAGCGATATGATTGGCCAAAAATTCGAGAGAATTTATTGGCCCGGAACTTTGATCACATCCTCTACCGATTGTTGAAACAGCAGAAGGAGAATCGAAAGAGGATACAGTTGGGAACAGATAAGGACAGAGAAGTCTATAAAACCTTATCTGGCATGAAGGAAATGATGACGAGCATGAAAGAAGAGCGGTTGAAGCTTCAAGTAATGATGGCTAAGGCGAAAACTGAGAAGAGAAAAGGAAAGGAGCCTGTCACTGAAAAGAATAGCAGTGAGAGTGAAAGCGAGGAGGAAAGGGAACCTCCTCGTAAATTGACCAAGGCTGAGCGGAAAGCCTTGAACCAGATACGAGGAGGGCAAGGCACTTCTCGTAAAAAAAGAGAAAGCAGCAGGAACGGAGAAAATGGAAGCGGGGAGCGACAGGTTGATCAAGAACAACAAAATCAAGGTCAACAGACTCAACCACAGGGTGGTCGAGGCCGTGGTAGGAGCCGTGGAAACGAAGGCGGACGTGGGAACTGACAGGAATACGTCTGCAAATACTGTGATATGAAGGAACATGTTATTCATTTCTGCCAAATTCTCGCCAAGGACGAGAAGGACCATTTCGTCTTCACAACCATTCGAGGGAAGTCTTTGATTACGAGGGAAACCTCATCGATCAGGATATTGAAGGAGGAATGAGAAAAGAGGTTTTTCGACGGATGGGTTGTCCTCTTCCGGCCACGTTCCGCCTAGCTTCTCCTGAAGAAGCAAGTTTTTTTGAGTTAGAAGAAACAATGGCTTCTCTGGAGATTGGTGGGTGTGACGAAAAAGAGTTGAAGGAAAGGAAAGAAGACATCGCTCATCGGGCGCGAGAAGTAACTAGGAAACTGGGCAAATGTCGAGATTCCATTATTCAATTATTTGTTGACATGGATAGAGTCTGGCCGAACCTTCCTAATGTGTTCTTTTTTGGTGGATGGGGGAACGAAGATCAGGATGGGTCTGCACCTGCGGCCGCTTCAGCGCAGGAAGCAATGCCAATGACACGGCCAATGACGATGTCTAGACCTGTACTCAAGCGAGGGATGCCAACCGTCATGGTGCAGACGAGAAAAGGAAGGAAGACCTCACAATCGCAGCCTGCGCCAGGAAAAAGTTCAACGGAACCTCAGGAAAAAGAACCTATTCAGATAGAAGAAGAGGATGATGATGAGGAAGATGAAAGATTGCGAGCAGAGGATGAACTACTAGCAAAGCAAAGAGCTATGGAAAGGGCATCGGAAGCAGGGAAGACCCAGGTCGAGGAAGAAGAACCTCGCAAAAAGAAGAATGTGTACTCAATTCCTGTTGAACAAGGGATTGATTTTGAACAGCTGGTGGATCGTATTCTGGAAAGTCAGCGTGATCTGGTTACCTTGAAGGAGATTCTTGCAGTATCGCCAAAGCTTCGCGAGGAATTCAAGCAACGCATGACTCGGAAGAAGGTCATGACAGTTAAGCTGAGTGAGATTATCCCTCCAGAAGTTAACTGGGTACCTCCTGGCACAAAGATGGACTGACGATGCGTGGCCACAGGCCTCATAAAGGTTTAAATCGGTCGTGGAGAGTTCTCGACTCTCATAGATGATGGGGCCGAAATGAACATCATGGGGGAGAGGCATGCGATTGAAGCTGGAATTCAGATCAATCACAATGACTTTGGATATTTGATTGGAGTCAGCGGGGCAACACCATTTTGCGGGACGGCTAGTGGCGTGATGGTCACAGTTGGAAAAGTAAAAGCGAGATCGTACTTTTATATATCGCCAAAGGTTGAGCACAAAGTGCTTTTGGGAAGATTTTTTCAATGTCGCACAGAGAGCATAATCTTCAACAAGCATGACGGCACCATGTTTGTAGCTTTATGCGATCCGGTTTGCGGCTATTATGAAGTGGTAAAGTGCGCAAATACGGGACCGACAAATTCAAGGAACCGGTTAAATCCCGAATCATATATCTTTTTAGAATCTGAGAAGTTGAGGAGGGAGAAAGAGGCGATCGATGAAGAAAAGGATCCTCATGAATTTTCGTTCACATTGCCTAGTATCTCGCAGGCAGTCGATTTTGCAGCAAGTCATCCTACAATTGATCCGAGCTTGGTACAGGCCCTCATGGAGGCTATGGTTGACAAGGAAGGTGCAGGAACCATGCATCTTGTTTATCGGCCAAATGAATCTCGTATGGAGGAATCACTGCCATCAGCCAGGCAAGAGTCTTTTTTAGGGGACGGAAGCTCGGCGTTGGCTCCAAGAGGAAGTATAAGAAAGTAGGGGAGAAAGCGCGACCAGTGCCAGTTCTGATCACTCAGGAGAAGGAAGAACGCGAGTGGATCAGAACATTGAAGGAGAAAGGTGAGAGGGGACCGTGTCGGTTGACAGAAGACAGGATCAAAGAGATGATCATTGGAGAGGATGACCTCCTCACCAAGGAGGAAACCCAATTCTTTATCGACGTTATGAGAAAAAATCATTTGGCTTATGCTTTTGATGATGATGAGCGTGGAAGGTTGGACGTCAATATGATTCCAATGATCCGGATGCATACGGTCCATGATATCCGAATCCAGACGATCACCGGAAGGTGGTGGATTATCTTGATGGCAGGATTCGGACCAAAGTGGCAGACTATTCGTATGGGCCGTATGCATCCCCTTGGTTCTGCTTCATCAAGTCGAACGGTGTTTTACGATGGGTTCAGGACCTGCAGAAATTGAATTCTGTAACAGTCCGAGATGCAGGTGGACTTTCGAACGCCGACCAACTTTCGGAATCTTGTGCAGGCCGGCCCATCATCACCTTAATTGATTTGTATTCAGGGTATGATCAGTTCTCGCTGTACACAGCGGATCGACCTATGACGGCTATGCACACGCCTCGGGGACTGCTTCATATGTGCGCTGCTCCACCGGGTTGGACGAATATCGTTGCAATTGTGCAGAGATATATGATGAGAGCCATGCAGCCGCTTTGTCCAGACGTGACTTCTCCATATATTGATGATTTGGCTATCCCAGGACCCCGAGTTAAAGACGAGACTGAAGTGTTACCCGGCGTTCGAAAATTTGTGTGGGAACACATCAGCAATGTGGAGAAGGTTCTGAGAAAACTGAAGGAATACAACCTCACTGCTAGTGGGGTTAAATCAAGGCATGGTATGAGGAAGGCGGTAATACTTGGTTTCCTTTGTGATGAGAAGGGTTGTCGGCCAGATATGAAGAAAACGAATAAGATCTTGGAATGGCCGACTCCCTTCAGATCTATTACCGGCATTCGGAGTTTCCTCGGGACATGCGGATTTTGGCGTATTTTTATCTGCAGATTCGCAGCAAGGGTGGAACACTTGCGGAAGTTAGTATGCAAGAACCATGTCTGGGAGTGGGGACCGAAACAGCAGACAACCGTTGAGGATATTAAAGCTGAGTTTCGAGAAGGCGGCCTGATTCTGGGAGTTCCTTGCTTTGATGATGTTGAAGGCCGTCCTTTCATCATCGAGACCGATGCAGGTCCTACCGCTTTGGGAGGAGTTATGGTCCAAAAGGATAGGGAAGGACGAGAACGGCCATTGAGGTTCGAGAGCAGAACTCTGAATATTACTGAGCGAAACTACTCCCAGTTCAAGAAGGAAACTCTCGCTGTGCTTCACTCTCTGCGCATTTTCAGGAATTATGTATTTGGTATACGGTTCATTCTGCGAGTTGATCCTACGACTCTGGCTCAATCACTGAAGAATTATTCTCCTTTTGATCCAACCATTGCTCGATGGCTGACATATATTTGGATGTTCAATTTTGAAATTGAGCGCATCTCAGGCACTCAGAATCGAGCAGATGGATTGAGTCGTGTTGATTGGGACTCGTCGACGGATCAGGCTGAGAATTCAGTTTCTGTGGATGAATTCCTCGAAGGAGAAGAGTCACGGTTGAGTATTAACTCATACAATTATTTGGCGGATGCAACAACTCGGCATGGGAAAACCATCTGGAATGCTCCTTGTTTCCATCATGTGCGATCAGAGTTTGTGATTGGGGAGCTGTTCATCGAGGAAGACCCATGGGGTGAAAGAACATCTGAGCAAATGATGAACTTGGCTTTATCTGATGAAGTCGAGTTCATCAAAGAGCCGCTGACAATTGAATATGGGCATGAGCAGGATGATAAGACTTTCAGGGTCACTGTAGAGATGTCATTCATTGTGAATTCTCTAGTTCACGAAGACCGTATGAAATTGATGAATGAGGAAACAGAAGGCAGTGAGATCAGAGAGGCTTTCAGGGAAGGAGAATATGATGGGGAGTACGGATTGATGGGAATGTGGTTGAATTGTGAGTTAAGGGATGATGAGGTGGATCCAGCTATTCGCCAGAAAAGCTAGGATTTTGTTGTAAGATATGGTCATCTTTTCAAGAAATCCAACGATGATATTCCGAGGAGAGTGGTATGTGGGGTTACGCGACAACTTGATGTGATTGCAGCTTTGCATGATGGGATCGCAGGCGGACATAGATCGGCGCGGGTCACTTTAAAAAAAAATCAACATCTTTATTTTTGGGAAGGAATGAACAAGATGGTGAATGAATTTTGTAACTTTTGTCTCTCATGCCAAAAACGATCTAATCTGCGTTTTGTTGAACCTTTTAATCCACGCTATGTAGCTGAGCCGGGAGCAGTAGTACACCTGGATCTATTGGTCATGCCACGTGGAATAAATAAGTACAAATATATCTTCAATGCAAGGGATAATCTGACTGGGTTCGTTGATGGCTACGCCATTCGCGAGCGTACTGGGCATGTTTTAGCAGAATGCGTTGAGGAATATTATCTTCGGTACCCATTTGTCCGAGAAATTGTCATGGATCGAGGTGGTGAGTTTCGAGCTGGGGAAGTGCAGGCGCTTCTTAAGAAACTTTGAGTAAGTTTTAACTATACTACAAGGGCACATCCCCAGGCTAATGCGCCAGTTGAACGTGGACATGCCACTCTAACAAATTTGTTGGCTAAATGGTGCGGAGACGATCCTTCAAGATGACTCATATATCTGAGAACGACATTTTTTATTGAGAATGTCACCATAAAGCGGACAACTGGATACGCTCCGGTCATATTGTGGTTTGGGCGGCATGCAACTTTTCCGATCAAAAGTTTTTTGACCACTTGGAGAAAGCAGGATGTGGAAACAAAGCTTTCAACGGAGGAGTTGTTGGAATTGAGGGCAAGACAAGTGATGATCACTGAGGAAAGGATTGAGGAGGCCGCTGCCTCTACTGCAGAGAGTAGACAGGCCGACAAGGAAAGATGGGATAAAAGGCCTCGCGTTCGTAAGGAACCATTGGAAGTCGGGGATGTTGTGCTTCTTTATGACTCGTCTTTGGAAAAACAATGGTCTCGAAATTTGGACAACCGATGGTTAGGGCCTTATCGTATTATCAAAAAATCTGAGCATGGGGCTTATGAGATCGAAGAGATGGATGGGGCTCGAGGTAGAAATTGGGTGTCGGGATCGCATTTGAGAAAGTCTATTCCAATGACTTAATAAAAAAGGGTTTTTATTAGTATAATTTTCTCTTTCTTTTTCAAGACTTGCTTTTCCTCTTTTATTTCTTTTGGGACCACTAAATGCTGACTGGTTCTGAGGACATACAAGGAAATTGTAACTTTGGACTCTTGGGATTTGATTTTATTCTAGGACCTATGGTTCCATGTTTTTTTTTAATAATTAATGAATTTTACGACACCTGTTCGTGGAATTATGTTGTGATTTTTTGATCGAAAATTTGTTGATTCCTAAATTTGAATGATTTCTTGTTTCGATGAAATGTGATGCAATGCAAATTTATTAATATTTTTGGACTGGAATGTTATGAAACTCTCTGTGAAAATGTATGTTGTTATTTGATGAATATTCTCGTTGTAAAATTTCTAGGAAAATGATATGTAATTTGCATTATATGGCTTGTGACATAACTATGAGTTATTCACAAAACATGTAATACAATTATTTATCATAGCCCAGGACTTTCGTAATGTTTTTAGTTATCATGTTATGATGAGTCCTGATGCAGTGAGCTTTGTAGGTGATAGTGAGGCCTACGCCGGAACTTAGTTCCTGGTCCATAGTGGGATGCTGTCACTTTTTCTTTTTTTAAGAAAGGTGGCTACACTATCATTGAAAGGGAGGATGGTATTATTGTGATTGTCGGAATCTTGCTTGTGAGGGTGACGACTGTCACTTGTCATGAGGAAAAAAGTGGTCACCTTGGCCTTGTGATGAATGGGGTCGCCTCGCCTCTATGACCGGGTCTGACCAGCCTAGGTCATAGAGAAAGGGTGGTTCAACCTTGCAGGTAGGGGACTGGCAAGCACATGATACTGGAATCGGAGGGAAGGTGGTGAGGCTCGAGTCTAAAGCGGGGCTTGACGTCGAGATGTTATCCCTTGAGGATTACACCACTCCTCGACGCATATCACAATGCATACACGAATATCATGTATGGTAACTCGTAATTGGAGTGGGATACAAAACCTGGACAAGGACTTTTGATAAATGGTTTCTCTCATAAATGGTTGGTCCAGAATCTGTCTGGGCCGCTCAGGAGGTTATTTATTTTGAAATATCCGTCAGGAGGTTAAACCTGATTGTTTTTAAAATAAATGTAAATATTAGCTGACTGAGGTTTAGAAGGTTAGCCGGAGGCTATTTCTGGTACCATTCTTAGAGACTAAAATAATGTTTAGAGTTGCCACCAGTGGGATGATGCTGGGATCATTTAGACAAAGTTCCTTGAAATATTTAGTGATTCCGGAACTTGAACCGGTATAAATCCAGGTTTTTGTGAAAAACTTGCCAGAGGATACATGTGGTACCATTCCAATCAAGGATGATTGAAATTTAGATTACCAAGGCAATGACTCGGATTTATGTGATAAGCTTCAACTTACTTTTGATTGAGAAAGATTTTGTTAAAAAGAGTTCTAAAAGAATCCAGAGAGCCCTATATTGTTGATTAATATAAGGTGAACGACGGGGACGTTGTTCAATGGGGTTTGGGATTGCTGTCGGGGTAAAAACCCTGACAAGGGTATTTGCCGGTGTTTTTGAACGTCGGACGTTGTCCGACTCTTGCGTTGAATTGAAAGATTTGATGAGACTGACGTAACGTTTATTCAGACCAGCGCTATGACTGAGAGACCTAAACCTTTTTAGAACCTGACGTCGTCAACGCAAGACGACATCGATGTCCGCGCGGGATAGCGGGAGTCAGCACTATCATCCGTGGGTTTGCAGTCATGGAAATGCTAAAATTAAACCTATTCTATCTATAATGATGTCGCACGGCTGATAAGCCGAGCGATTCAGGGCTTAAGTGGGTTAAAAAGAGGGTTGCGCGGGGTATAGGGCCGCGACGCAGGCAGCGGGTTTTGACATCGAGCCTTGGGACCAATAGGCCATACCAAGACTTACCCGGTTCGATGGCCGACCCAGCCGCGGCCATACGACTAACCGGCATGGATAGGCCACGGGCAGGTAAGCCGGCAGGCCACAGGCAGGGCAGCCCTGCTAAGCCACAGTCGGGGCAGGCCTGTTAGGCCATTTATGGGCGGAGCCTGCAAGGCTGCAGGCTGAGAGAATACCTGGGCCAGAAGAGCTGCTCCTGTTCAGCGTGGAACAGGAGCTAGCCCAGTAGGTTAACGTAATAGATTCTCACCATGCTGATATAGGGATTGAATCTCACTCGTGGTACTGCCGGGCTAGCTCCTTTTGGAGCTGCCCGTTTCTTTTAGAGGCGCGGTCTACCTCGACCGCCCGATCTGGAAGATCGCGCGGTCCAGATCGGCCGCGCGCAGATCAGCAAGGCACCTGCACAAAGAGGACACACATAAATCAAAATAATAAAAATAAAAATAAAAATAAATAAATAAACAAATCAAAGACAGCGCCACTTGGCGCGAGAAGATGTGCCTGAAGGCACATGGTAGTAACCGTCGGCTTATGCCAATGGTTTTTTGTTATTACTGTAAAARAAAAAAAAAAAAAAAAAAAAAAAACTAAAAACCGAACGAACTACGACTCGACAGATGGCACAGGGAGATTTGGCCAGGGACTTCCAGTCCCCAGAGAAGACAGGCGCCCGTTGAAAACGGGCAGCCGTTTTCTTTGAAGTTTTCTTTTTGTTTTTCTTTTCTTTAGTTAATTAGATTTTTTTTTCTTTTTCTTCTTTCTTTAGATTTTCTTGTTAGATTTTGTTAGATTTTTTTTTTCTTTTGTTCTTTACGAATGCCCGTTCGTTTCGAACGAACGGGTGACCAGAGTGTTTCGTCGGAGTCTCACCGACTCATCAGGAAGCTGAGCCTCGACAGTCTGTTCACTTGATGGACAGAAAAGGGTGAATCAGCTGCAATAAAGCGGCTAAGTACAGAGAGAGAGAGAGAGAGAGAGAGAGAGAGAGAGAGAGAGAGAGAGAAAGAGAGAGAGAGAGGAGGGGACTGCCTACCTACCTACCAACCTACCTGAGGTTGGCTCCTCGACGAGGAAGCCAACTACAGGATGAGCAAAATCGAATGAATCTACCGGTGGAACGTGCAAATATACACCCCACTTGAGTGTCTTTCCCCTTCCCTCATTCGATTCAGGGTCTGCGCCCGTTCGTTCGGAGAAAATGGGCAGCAGACGCCACTTCAGGTAAGTTTTTTTTGTGTAGTTTCTTTTTAGTTTTTACCTTTTCCCATTTTGTGGCCATTGAACATCAGGATATAGGGGGGGGAACGGGAAAAGGGGCAGAAACGAGGCAAACTGCCTCATGAAAAACTGTAAAAAAAA